TTTTAAGGTTGCCTGTTCGCAGGCATGTACATATTTAATGTATGCAGCCTGAGTGTTTAACCCACAAACAACGCGATAGCAATGTATCTATGCTTCGCATAGATACAACAAGAAAATATTTCTTTAAAAAAGAAATAATGTTTCGTTCCAATATAATTATAGAAATACCAGACGTCTGTATTAGCGGTTGTGACCATAGATCACTTGTATATGTCGAGCAATGAAATTGGTTCATTTTGTGAGGCGGGCGGGTTCTATAAATTTCATTACCCGGAGGGGCCGAGCGGTCCAGAAATACAGTTGTAGTATTTAAAATGAAGAAAAACAAAGAAAACTATATAATAAATATATACCGCTGTTGGCGCTTGAATACTTCAAATATAAATCATCGTGCCTGTAGATTTTGATTGGTTGCAAGTTCACATAAACAACAGTTTTAAAAATAGCTCGGTGAAGGGCTCAAGGGGACAATAATAATATAAAGGTCAAATGCACGTAACAAATCGATTTCTTCGAATTTCTTTTCTTTTATGCTTTATGGCAGAAAATAAATCAAACAAATAGTATTTTGAAGGTCTTTATCAAGATCTTTGACGAATTTTGGACACACGACGCTGAAAGAACAGCCAAACTAGTCATCTATTCGAAAGTTTGTTGTTGACAGCCAAGATGTCTGCCAACTGGCTTCGCCGGCGAAAGTCTTATTTTTAATATCAGGTCCTACCGGCGTTGTTTTCTGAGCTACATCGCCTTCTTCGTGGTACGATTGAGAATTTTATTGTTGCTGTTGTTAGCCCGTTAAAGTATATCCTTGGTATATATCCGCGTCCAGCAGGATGAGACCTTGAGAAAGCTTGGCAGGCAAGCGGTACACAGAACTGACTAATTGAATCTTCGTTTGCTGTTCGGTTAAATAGAGAAACTGACTCTTAATTATATAAAAGTACCTTGAATTTTTAAGTTTAATTAAAAAGCAAAATGCACACTCTGCGGACATGTTCATGAGAATATAATTTTTTTGTATGTCTATAACAGTTGTCAATCATATTGCATGCTGTGTCTAAAAATAACATGTGAGCGTCCCACGGTCTAGACAGGTTTTGTGTCAGGCCCTATTTAAAATTAGGGCCTGAACTTCAGGTTAAGTTAGCATGTTCTCATAGGTTGATATATAATTAACTAAGATTTCCGAATTATATATGCCACGCCTCCAAAAAACTTCTTATGCTAGGAGCGGTCATCTCATTGGACGATTCTAAATGTAATTGACGTTTGAGCAAGAATACTGGCAAAGGATTGGATAACTTTGATATCTGACGTCACTTTCCTGTCATAATTGCTCGAAACCAAATACAGTACCGTTTCGTTCCTGCGGGGAACGAAACAAAAATGTATACGCATGTAAATGTACAATTTACCTTTCTTGTATTCATGCAAAATTGGCCCTAATTGTCGCTCAGTCTTATAAATAGAGGGTGGGAAAGGGTATTTTTGTGGGCCGTGAATGGTCAATATTTGTTCGCGTGAAATGTGAAATGCTTGATTTTAGTGTCGTGAAGTGTGATTTGTTCTACAGCCGCGAGGCGTGAATCGCGTGATTGTCGATAAAAATGCTCCGTGAAATGAAAATTAAGGATGTCTGTTTCGTGAACTGCGATTTCTCTTTGTTTATTTCGATCTATTTTATATTATTCATAATAAACATGATACGCGATAATCAATTTATATGATCTCACTCGATTAAATCGCACAAGAGTAAAAACATCGGAGGCCTTTGGAGGTCGTCGGACATACTCGTCACTCAAACTTCTAAGTTATGTTGTAGTTTTTAACTGACACAACTCATGAATATACATTTATTAACCTATCACCAGCAGCTGCTTGTTAGGTATAACAATTAAAATTTGCCGTGGATATTCTCATCTACAAAACCCTTCAACATTATTAATGCATGTGTTTTAATCTATTTCTTAATCGATAACATTCCATATAACTGTTCGCTTGATACAAAATATATCCGGCGAAATTTGATGAACACGCTTGGTTTTCCTATTTTTCCAAAATAATTTAGGGATAAAAATTTCATATAAGTGTATCCGTTTTCATATAAGTGTATCTGCTACTTTAATTATTACTGCAATGTATATATAAGTGCCCGTTTAAATGGGACTTCAACGAAGACAAACCGCGAAAATTTCGTTTCGATACGATTTGGGATTGAATATCCAATTTTTGAGCATCCAGTGAATGATTCCAGCTATCGACTAATTTTAGATCTAGACAAAAAAGACGATCTATCATTATAGCTCAACAGAGCATCCTAAAATTAGCAAAATTTGGTAAAAATTGAAATGTTGCAAAATGTTGCAATATATAATATATATATATTAGCGAAATGTTGTAAAATACGAAAAATATAACCCTGTGAAATTAGGAAATTTTGAGTATTTTTGTATTACGCGCAGAAAAATGTAAATTTGCTAATTTCAAAAATTTGATAATTTCAAAGTGCTATATTTTCCGTATTTTACAACACGCAACCGAAATTGGCAATGTTACTAATTTAAGGATGTTTTTTTAAAAATGATAGGTTCGTCCTTCCTGTCTGGATCAAAAATTAGTCGATAGCTGGAATCATGTATCGCAGTCACTGAAAATAATAAATTTTCTCTGACTGCATGATCAGTGGCGTGCTGGCAGGGGGGGCCGGGGGGCCACGGCCCCCCCAGCTGGCAATTTTTGGGGGGCGCAAAAATGAAAAGAGGGCGCCGATCCCGCGCCGAATTTTGAAAGTGGGTGGGAAGAAACGCATTCGAAAAAATATAGTTACTAATTCCGCCAAGGAAAGATGTGTTTATAGACTTATAAACAGACTAAGCGCATAGGCGACAAAGTGAGTATATTAAATTGCAGACTGTTTTGTCCAACCGTATTTGCTACCTCACGATTCACACGAAATCACTCGTTCATATAGAAACATGATTAGTGATCACACGCAATGTCTCATTACCGGAATATTGATCAGGCTTCGAAGCGATCACGGGAATTATGCCCTTTTTTGCTGGTATACCCTTATATCATGCCCTTTATTATGCTTCACGAATCACGAGAGCGACCCAAATTAGATAGTTGAAGTTATGATAATGTAAAGTTGTGTACGCAATTTAGTTGTTTGCGCAAGAAACATCATGAGTAATGTAAGTAACGAGATATAATGCTGAAACGCGCCCTTTTGGCAGACAGGCAAGAAAACCTTAAAATGCATATGCGTGGGGTCTGTGTGTTATTGTATAAAAGAGCTGCAAGTTGTCAATGTATTCAGATCAGTAGAGAATAGAATTGGGATTAGATTAATTGCTGGAAGTAGTTAGCATTGCCCAATTTAAGTACTACTACTAAATTCTAACCAATTTGCAAATTTCGACACGTTGTAATGCCGTTTCCTGACCATCAGATTTCTGTCAAATCTTCCCCCAAAGTCCAGGAAATGGCTTTTCAGAGACTCTAAATTCAAAAATTTTCCTGGGGGCATGCCCCCGGACTCCCTTAGACAAACCTCGCACCTGCGACGCTCGGTTCGTGCCGTCGGCCCTCGTTTATCAAGCGTAATATTATAGGGGCGCATATTGGTTGCCAGCCGACTGGCCCCCCCAGAAAAATAGTACCCAGCACGCCACTGTGCATGATGGTAAAATTTTGAAAAAGAACCCAACGCGCGGAAGGTGTAATCTTGAGTGCATGGTTTTGCGTTGAAATGAAAAGTGAACGTTTCAATTATTTTTCAAAATTAGTGATTCAATGATTGATACTAGCTATAAACGAAATTTTGATCTAGACAAGAAGAACGAAATCCACTGCCATAGCTGAAAAAAGCATCTTAAAGTTTGGTTGCGAATTGTTATAAAAAGAGGAAAATATAGCCCTGTGAAGTTCGCAATTTTTTTATGTATTTGGATTACGCGCGGGAAAAACCATTTTTAAGCCGAAAGTGGTTTTTTTCTCGCGCGTAATACGAATATATACAAAATTTTCTAACTTCACAGGGCTATATTTTATTCATTTTACAACATTTAGCAACCAATCTTTGCAGTTTTACTCATTCTAAGACGCTGTTTCTAGCTGTACGTGCTGTTGGATGTTGTTCTTCTTGCCTTGATCAAAATTTAGTCTATAGCTGGAATCACCCATTGAAAATTTGGTTTTTTCACACACTTCCTTACATATTTCACAAACACGTGAACACATCGGTCTGACCTGGGTTCCATTTGGATGCGCCGCAGTTTTAGCTGTACACGCAAGATATACGTGCATGCGGGTGATTAATTAAGAGTGTCAATTTTCGAAATGTCTGGGCATGCAAAAGAGTTCGAACAATCGGAATTTAGATAATTTGTATTAGTTTCGGCATGGACATGCATGAAAAGCCCCACCTTTCACGAGCAATTTATAATTACGGTAAAACAGCTGCAACATCAATGACGGACCTTCTCGTCTATTTTAATAAACATGAAGATAATGTTACAAATGATAAAATCTGAAGAGTAAAGAAAAACCAAAAGCATATTTAAACCGATCAACAGGGCTGATTGAGGTCAATATAATATGTTTATCCTCGTTTCATTCCATTATATAAAAACAGGCTGTAATATGTATATTCGTAATGCAGAAATACAATTTTGAGTATAAAATTTTGAAGTTTACCTGTGAATGAAATTATGTCACTAAAATAGAAAAACAAATTAAACATGCACAATTACCGATGTCATGATCAACATCCATGTGTCCTATTTTTCTCATATTCAGGAAGATGCAAGTCTGCGTTTCACAGGTTTTTAGAGATCCTTTTAGAAAAGGTTGAAGAAAAGCTGAAGAATTTGCAGAGCAAACGACGCCAAATGATCCTTCCACACTGCACCTGGGAAAAATTTGGAGAAATTCTCGCAACCAACGGTGGAAGAATATACGGCCTTTTCGATGAACTGGTATCCTTTTTTTCAACCATGGACATGTATTCATCGGCAAAAGGTCAGGTTCAGGACAATCGAGAGTACCAAGATTTCCTCAAGATGTTCACGGGAAAAGCGAAAACAAGAGAAACAGGTGAGAGCATGACTATCTATTAACTTGCATTAAAACTTATAATTAGTTGATGAACTATTTAAAACATGAGCAGCAGTGTTTTAGCAGATATAAATGTAGTAAGTCATTGGCGAAGTAATTTTCAAAAATACCGCGTTGTGTGGCGAGAAAATCAAAGTTAGAGTTTATTTAAATCAAGAAAAGTCTCTATCACATATAAAGATACGACACGCTTATGATTTTTCTTTGTGTTTTCCTCATGAATTCTTAATGAGTTTTTGAAATGTATATGGAAATCACTTTGTTCATGCATGTGTAATGAAACGCGTCTAGATTAAATTATCATTGATGTTGCATCAAATGCAATTCTACTGTATACCGCAGCGTTATTGCAGGGTTGCCAGATAGCTGAATAAATAAGCCAAATATTATTATCATAACTTTTTGTTTTCTTTGTTCCAAACAATGACATGAAAGGGCTGTTTATAGCAATGTTTGGCTTGATGCTGGAGATGTTACTCTGAGTGTATATTCGCACAGGGCAAGCTTGAAAAATATGCCTGACCACGGTGGGAATCGAATCTACGACCTTTGATCAGGTCGGTTCGAAGCATGCCAAAGGGCCAACGTGCTTCAACTTCTTTAATTTTCATCCTGTTTCTACAAAATTTCGGCACAAACATAGAATATGTCATTCTTACAAATCGTATGGTTTTTGTTTTCCGAATTGCTACATCTAAAAAATTAACAGTTAGCTATTGTTAATTTTATGCACTTATTCGGTAGACAACATTGAAAGAGTCATAAAACTGAACTCCGTTTCTAAATACGACTATTTCTATAGTCAAAGATATAGCGGTACAAATGTCGAAAAATCGGCCATTTTGTTACTAAAAATAGAATAAAATGCCCGATTTTTAGAAATTTGAGTCATGATATCTTCGCAAGGAATGGTTGTATTTCGAAACAGACTTCAGTTTTAAGACTCTCTCAATGTCGTCTACCGAATTACTGCATAAAATAACCAAGAGCTAACTGTTAATTTTTTGGCGCTAAGTTTGTGACGTCATTTTCCCGCCAAAAATGTTGATGGGAAATTTTGTAGAAACAGGATGAAAATTGAAGAAGTTGAAGCACGTTGGCGCTTTAGCATGCATTTTTGTCAGGCGTGTTTTTAAAAACGTTGGCATTGTGGCATACCATGGAGACAACAAGGAAAAGGTGTCTGTAGTGTAAATTCGTCTGACGTACAGTATAAAATCTAATATCCATTATCTGTGGTCTATTTATAGTTACAGGAAATGCAAACTTTGACATGAACCAAACGTCGTTCACATTATTGGGATTTTACACATTCAGCATTGCCAATCTTACAAGACGTAGAGAGCATGCAATGCCAAAGGGTTCACCTCACGAATCTTATGGTACTTTCCCAGACCTATATACAGCAAGTTTGCTGATCTCCAACTCACATAAGAGGATGAACAGCTACTCAATGAGACCGAAGAAATACTGGGTAATTCATGTTATACAAATAATTCTACCGTTCTATAATTCTATGTTGCAAAGTTCAATGGTTCTATGCTTCCTCGGAGTTCTAATAGTTCAAGTTTTATGCTTCTCTGTAGTTCTATATAGTTCGATACAATTTTAAAAAAATTTTCAATTATAACATTTGTTATTATAGTGAACTTATTTATTAACTTTGCCGGCATAAAATTACACAGAGTGGCCGGGACACCGCAACAGCTTATTGCCAATTACTGCGGGCCCAATTGGATACAATCAAACAAACAACAGACATTCAACTGGACAGACTAACAAACCTACGAACAAACAATATTAGTTCCTAAAAGCAGCAGGATATCGGATATGTAAGACTTCGTACAGAGTTACATTTCAGGCATATAGTTTTAAATGTTCGAGGATTATCAGGATTATAATTAACTTCTAAAGATTTGTAATAGTATTCCAGTAAGGCTGATCTAAAGGAATTGAAGCAGTTCGTGTCATAATTTAGTTCATCTACGAGAGCGTTCCATATTGTTGACAAGTCTATACGAAAGGGGTGAAAAAAACGTATACATGCATCAGAAGATGTCGCAAAGGTATAGTGGTCGTCCATGTTGAAAGGAGAAAGTACACCCTATCTCAGGAAGCTCAGGAAACATTTGCAGATATCCACGATAACTGGGAGATGAATATTTGCAAAGCTTATCAACATGATATCCTTCTAAGTGGTAAGAAATGTATTGCAATTATATAAATATGCAGTATAAGAGGTTAGATTTCCTCTACTTCGTATTTTATAAAAAACAAAAAGATACAAATTCGTGGGGACAGCCACCTTCCAATAAATAATAAAAAAGGTTGAGTTCATTGTTTCACACAACAACTGAATATTTAGAGTACCAATTAAAATCTTCATTTTCGGAATTAGTGCTCTAAGTCTAAGATTGGTATTTCTTTAGAATAATGAATTGTTTGCGTTACAATTCAATTTCACAGGCTTGTTTGCAAGGGGAAACTCTCATGTCATAAGGCTGTCTGTTCCTATATGCAAATATTATTGGACACATTTGCTGACGAGACCAATGATGGATATGGTCATGGGCATACTGGTGAAGATTTAATGCCGACAGACGTTGAAACACCTACCGAAGACGTTCAAACGCTTGCCGAAGACGTTGAAGCTCCTGCCGAAGATGATGAAGCGCCTTCCGAACACGATGAGCCATCCTCCGAAGACGATGAAGCGCCTGCCGAAGAAGATGACCATGAAAACGTCATTCAAATAAGCTCTAAAGCTCTACTTGATTCCCATTCCTTAGTTGACGTTTGTTTACGACATGTCTGTGAGTATAAAGTCTGTTTTAGCATAACCTGTGTAATTTTATTACGTAAAATGACATGCGGAATATATTATACGTATGTTCTGTATATCATTATTTGTTTTGAGTCATTAATGTTCTTTCTCTTCCAAAATTCCATTTATGAGTCTGGTGAAATTGTCTCATCATTTCCAGACTATTTCAACAATTCGGTTTAAAGTATAGTTGGATATAAAAGTTTAATAAATCTGGACCGTCTTATCAACCTTAAAAGTAAGTCGCATTGTTTTATCTCAAACACAACAGTTATTTCTATAGGTATAAAATATTTTCGTGCAAGGACTACTAAACAATGATCAAGGAAAATATTAAGACCAAACGCAAAGTGAATAAATATGTATATTATAACTCAACTTCAAATTGTCCAGTCAGGAAGCTTAGTTTGGGGCACGTGATCATGAAATTAATTGCGATATCACGCATTACGTCATCAATTACCAAGCCTGCGTTCCTTTTGACAATGTTCCACGCCATTTTTCCCGGGGAACATGGGGTTGAACATTATTCGCGTAGACCACGCGAGACAACACTTATAAAAGTAACATCATTGATTTTCAATCAGTAGCTGCATTGTCAGGACGTACGTCCGTGGATGTCTCAAACAGACAGGTGGTGACATATTGATGACGTATCGATGTAATGCATTGCGAGCATAGAAATTGCGAGCTAAAGTCGGTATCTACGGTTAGTTCCGCTGTTGTCCATAAATGGTTTTGTAAATAACACGAGTACTCAATAAATGGTTTTGTAAATAACACGAGTACTCGATAAAATGGTTTTGCCAATAACACGAGCGAAGTGCAATACGAAGAATGCCGTATAACTGCGCGAGACGATGACGACTTTGTATCATACCTTCGGTTCTGTGCACAAAAGTTTTAGTCAATATCAAGCGAGATCGTATCAATAACACGCGAGTACAATAAAATGGTTTTTCAATATAAACACGAGTACAATAATCAATGTAACTAGTTGCCGTGAGCGGATGACGACTTTGTAAAAGTTCATGTCTTCGACGGGTACTCAATAAAATGGTTTTGTCAATAACACGAGCGGAGTGCAATACGAAGAATGCCGTATAACTGCGCGACTTTGTATGTTATTGTTATTATTGATCTTTAAACACGGTAACCTTTCACATAGGTGATTTTCAAAGGGCCGTGCGGAAAATAAATGCATTATGAAAGAAGGAACTAATAAACTAAAAGTAGTTCTAGACCGCCTGTATAGCGCCGGAAGTAATTAGTATGCAGGAGCGGATAGAGCGGCGGAAGTAATTAGTATGTAGGAGCGAATAGGGTGGCGGAAGTAATTAGTATGGATCAAAACATGGCGGCGATCAGTGTTAAGCAGAAGTGACGTCTAGGGAGTTTCCATGCCAGTGCTTTATCACATAATTGTAAAGGTATTGTGTTTGTATTTATATACGTTACACATCTTACCTCCAAGGCTTGTGGGACACTGCGATAGCACATGCGCAGTAATAATATTATAGTATGGTGTACGTACACCAACTACGTCATAATCATATCCATCTCTGATTGGTTGCTGTGTTTGGTGTGGGAATATAAATTGAAGATGTGGGTACTGCTCGGCATAGTGTTCACACAGCTTTCGTAGAGAACTTAACAAGACTAAATGATGATGGAGTGTTTACATGGACAACCAGCTTCTTGTTCAACTACGAAAAAAGGTTCTTTCTGGTTTTGTGGACAGAAGCCAAGTTGTGGATTTCTATGCACAGAAAACGAAGGTTATGTATATCAAATGGCTTTGGCAGCTTGGAGAGCCATCGATTTAAAACAGCCGATATGCGAAAGCCACCACAAGCCCGCAAAGTTTCGTGTAGTTAAAGACATACAGAAAGAGAGCTATGGCAGACCGTACTTTACGTGTGCAGAACGTGAAAACCCGTGTTCCCTCTGGATGTGGGCTGATGAGAAGCAAGTGGAGAAACAAACTGTTATCACGGACAACTGTGTGTCATGAAAAAAGTGAAAAAAGAAGGACCTAACAGCGGTCGAAAGTTCTTTTGCTGCTGTAACGAAAACCAGTGTGATTATTTTGAATGGAGTCCTGAGGAATTGCCAAAACAGCTTGACACCATGGTGCCTTTCGTACCACTGTTTTACAATCGTTATTATCCAGATGCTCAGCAGAACTGAAACATTTATATAAACATTTAACGTATAATTAACGAGCTCTTTGTATTATCATATTTATGAATATATATTTGAAACGTTTTACACTGTGTGTTCATTGACTGTTGCAATAGGGCCGGTACCAGACGAGTTTCGGGAAAACGATGTTGACATGAGAACACTATCCCATCATGTCAAATATTTGTTTGAGCATCACGGAGCGTTGTACAGTCAAATGGTATTGAATGTTAATGCTAATGAGACTCGCATAAATTGACACGGCATAGATTCAGTTTTTAAACAATTTATTTTTTAAAGTACAATAATTATTTACACAAATAAACAGTTCTTAAACATATTGTCCGGCTTTTACAGTGTTCTCCAGTTTAGATCGTCCATCCTCCGTTTAGTAGTTCTGTCCTTTAATGCTCTGTGGGCTTAACAAAGTTTAACATCCATAACTTTGAATGCACATCATTTCTTGTTCGCAGGCAACAATAGTACTTTCTCGTACTCGAGTAAATAAACTAAAATGCCAACCATTTCTTGTGGTCCTCCGATTTAGATTTTCGTTTACTATTGTCTCCATGCTTTAATTTTGCATTTTGTAAGTAAACGTTAAAGTTTCTCTCCATCTCCTCTTGTCGCTCTAGTAAATTTTCCAGACTCTTTTCTACGTTGAATTCTTTTGGCTCTTCACTCTCTCGAGGTACACAGATTCCTATTTTACTCCACTTCAACCATTTCTTGCGTTCCTCTGTGTTCATATCATGTACTTGATCGAGATGATTTGCTAACCATTTACTACCACAACCAAATACAGGGCAGTCTCTACGCGTACGACCCATGTTTGCTCAACGAATTCCTATCAATAATTAGCTCATTTTTTCGAGTTCCGGATATTATATTTGGCCCGATTAGGCCCGAAATGGCACTTTTTGGCCCGATTAGGCCCGATGGCCCGATTGCTGACTGGGCGTTCTAACCCAGGCAGGACAGCCACCGTTATTGTTTGGGTGCTATGACGTCACGGCAAAAACTAACAATATTTTTGCTCTAAACATATATATACATTTTCGTGTTCGCCATACCCCCTTTTTTTTTCTCCTTTTGAATTTGAGATTTGTTGCATATAAATAAATTGTTTCACTTGTTGTATTCATTTGTTGTTTTGTTGCAATGGAAGTGATACTGGACGAATTGCAAGCACGGGGCGTTGATATTGACATGAGAACATTATCGCATACTATTAATGATTTGCTTGAGCGCCACGAGGCGTTGTACAATCAAATGGTAGTGAATGTTAATCCTAATGAAATGCATGTTGTTTTTAACACGATCAACGTGACTAATTTTGGCCGTGCTATGGCCTATTTGACATTAGTTTATTTGATGCACAGTTCCGAGGATACAACGCGGAGGGCTGTTCGTTTGGTTGCGGCCCCTCTGAGAAGCTTTGACTTTAGTGCATATCGAATTGAAGAAGAGAGTATTTTCCGTAGAATGATCAGACAGGTGTTTAAGATATAAAACGAACGGACACATCAAATCATAACGCAGTGCGTGTTGTGCACGTGAACACAATGGACGTGAGATTTAAAACACCAGCAAATTTTTATATTTGTGGGCAAAGTCAAAGCGGGAAATCCTATTTGGTCCGTTCCATGTTACGGCATGCAGAGGAACTATTTAATCCCGTGCCGACTAAAATAATATACTGTTACGGCATATATCAGAAGGAATTCGAAGAAATGTTGCAGACAGTTCCCAATTTAACTCTCGTGGAAGGATTTCCCGGTAATTTGTGCGAGATGACCCGCGGACATGATAACTCGTTAGTCGTGCTCGATGACTTGATGTCACAATGTTCCAACGATCCACGTGTGTCGGATTTGTTTACACGTGATTCCCATCACCTTGGCATGTCCGTGCTGTACCTTACACAGAATTTGTTCCCACCGGGCGAACGTTCTCGAACGATTAGTTTGAATAGTCACGTTCTCATCGTGTTTAGAAACCCACGTGACTCGCTAGGTGTTTCCACACTTGCCAGGCAGATGTTTCCTAAACATACCGGATACCTTCTGGAGGCATTTCACGATGCGACGGGCAGGCCTTACGGATATTTAGTCATCGATTGTCATCAGCTGACACCAGAGAACATGCGTCTGAGGACCAGCATTTTACGCGAAGAGAGACAGATTGTTTACGTGAAACGTACTTAAACTACGTGTGTTATGGAAAGTCATCATTTGCAAGATGTCAAAGCGCATGAAAGGAAGTCTTCCTTATCTTCAAGTCATTGTCAAATCTAAACCTAAATTGCGAAAATTACTCATCGATAACGTTCCAGCGACTGTTATCACAGCTATTTGTGAGTGTTCCTTGAATTTACTTAAAGGTGTCATTCCGGTAACACCTCGGCAAAAGCGACGTTTAGCACGTTACAAGACACATCTCCGTGATTTAGCCAATAAGAAAGTGTCAAGAAAACGGAAGAAGTTGTACCTTAATCAGAAAGGTGGAAATTTATTGTCAGCTCTCTTACCACCAGTGTTGAGTGTACTCGGAAGTTTGTTAGTATGAAGCATGCGAAACGCATGGTATTGGTCCCGGAGGACGTGCTTAATCGTTATGAACAGAAACAAAAGATTGAGACCTCCCCAATTACATCCAAGATGATGCATCAGGATACGGCGATGTCAGAGATGCTTCAGAGTACAGGCATGTCCGATGTCGAAAAACAGAAATTGTACAATGCGAACATGGAAAGTTATCTGAGTTTGAAGCGACAGAAGGACGATCAAATACCTACAGTCCGCATAGCACCGGATGCGGAACAGAAGTCCAGAGGGAAAGCATCTTTATCTGACGGGGACGTGATCGGTCATTTACCTGTAACCCTACGCCCGAAAGCCGCAACTCTTTTGAGGCGTTTGAAAGCAAGACCCGACGTTATTTCCTGGGACGAATCTGGGCAAGTTAAAGTCGACGGTAAGGAGATTCCTGATTTGAATATATCGGATTTGGTCAGTGATGCTATGCGTGCACGTAAGAATTTTAATCCCAAGGGAGCGCAGGAATTCTTTCGCGGGCTGTCAAAGATTAATGTACCCAAAGATATTGCAAGAAACACGGAAAGATGGGATCAGGTTCAAAGGGGCAGTCCGCCTGGCGCGGAAGAGGTTGTTTTTAAGACACCGCCACCGAGACCACCGCCACCAACATCACCACGTGCAAGTCCCGCGAAATATCTCCGTGGTTTACTCAGAAGACAGGCGGCGAAACCAAAACAATGGCTTCCTTATTAAAAAATGTTGTAATTGTTTGCATGTAATAATAAAATGTTTTTAAAACCAATTTTGTATTGACGTCAATTCTTTGGGGCAGTATTTTTATGCACGGTTCGCATGTGGGACACGAGTTTGTACGCATGCGCAGAATAAAAAGAACACACTACAGCTTTTTACAACAATTTTATTGAAAACATCTTTCTACTGAACTGATTAAGGTTAACACTGGAATGTTTTAACAATACCTTAAAATGTCTCTTAACAAACTGGGATACTTTTGTATCATTTAAGATCGTATCATTGTTAAATAAATGTACGATATTACTCATGCTCTGACCTCTTGCTCTATGGCTAAGGTAAAATATGCAATACTGGCCACATACATCCGACCAAGCACTTTGCAATTTACGTCTATTAAAATCCCATGCGTGAGACTTTAAAAAGTCTCCAAACGATTTCCTATAGTACTCGGGTGCATGCCCGTAACTGTCAAAGAATTCTCCCTTCTCTTCCGATGGAAAGTAGAAGGCGACCCAATGGGTTCCAGGTTCACTGCTCGTATCAGGGTTCGCAACGAATCCACACGGATATCTCTCGATCGTCTGAGGTAGCCTGTCGCTAGGGAACACTCCACAAAACTTCTTGCTTGTTACGGGATCTTGTTCCAGGGCATGAGTTATCTGGGCAGTATTCATCCCGAGTAATCGTAGACAACGTTTCTTTCGGAATCAATGTGCACGGTATTCTCAAACTCTCCGTAGCATACGAGACTCACAGCATTTGCAGGCGCTGCGGAAAACTGAATATCAATGGCCAAATTTCCTTTCTGCACCACGTTAAAATGAGGAGAGGCTCCACACATGTCCGGTGTTAAATCAAAGGCGTACACGGCGTAACCTTCTGGAAATTCTTCTCGGGATATATCGTTTCCTGTGTTGTGATACATTTTCCCCGTACCAGAGAACAGTGTGGTGAATGCTTCGATGTATTTAGGTGCTGCACCATAGGAAAGCTGCAAGGGTTTAAATGGCATTTCTTCTCCGTTCACGGTTATTCCAATGGAAGATACGTTGAAATGTTGAAAATTGTACGGATTCTTTTTTAAGGCACCGTTAAACGCGTCGCTTTCGACCATACCAAAGACAACTGTTTTTGGCACCAATCCATTGAAAAGGTTATCCTTCCTTAGGGAAGGATTTCCAGCGGGAACGATGAAGCTCTTGCATTCGACGCACGGATAGGATAGATAGCAGGTCCCTTTTTCAGAGCTATTTCATGAGCCACGGAAATGCTAGGATTGACTTTCACTTTACGTATCCTGAGATAAGCATCAGTAAGTTTCACGCGGAAATCAGCATCGTCTTCGGAGGCCATCAAACAGAACTCGTCGCTGCTTCGATTTAAAATAACTTTTAGATCTACGTAACTCAACAGGAGACGTTCGGACATGAATATGTCGCTGAATATGGGGACAGTCATTTCAACAGTTCCACTTGCTTTGCTGAAAACGTATCTTGCTCGGAGACCAGCGTTGCCATTACCACCTACTACTGTGGGATCCGCGACATCCATTTTTCCTGCAGTGTCTTTGTAATACAACGCAGCAGTGAGCTGTGAATCTTTTGCAGAGGGACCGTAATTCAGAAGGGTTTCCAAGTAAGCACGGTACGCATAGGTTCCGGTAGCCTGAGTGACTTGTTTCCCTTTCAAAAAGACATCCACCTGTTTGAACAGGCTGTGGAGGAAATTGTTCACGACTCCAACCTTAAACGGATTAGAAGGAAATTAATATTTAAAAACGCCGTATTCAATATGAAAAACACCATACCTTTTCGGCTGCTCCGAGATTCGTGCCATCGGGTTTTGTCACTTTCGCTCTCACCACGAGAATCGTTCTAGCAAGGTCCACATAATCTTCAGTGCCTGGAGACAGGAACGTAATGATACCACCATCGGCTACACTGGAGACCGGCTGATAATCTACCCAGTGTCCTTTCTCTAAACTGATCTGTGTTGGGGGCACAGAGAATAGATCGAGTTCGCTTTTTGTACATTCTTGCGATTTGGAATGTACGAAATTCATGGTTTTAACCAAATATGTCTTGAGCTGTTTTCCGTTTCTTGGTCTGTCTGCGTCTGGCTGTAGATGCCGATGCCTTTCTCTTTTTAGTTGTTCGCTTTGCACTTCTCGAGCGCTTTGCACGTTTTCCACTTCCCGTTTGACCCATCAATTTGTTCATAGCTTTTCTTTTCGCAACGTTGGCGGCCTCTACGGTTCGTGCTTTTGCCGCTTCTTTGACGTTTCTACCGGTGAGAACATCGCCCACAAAGTCTGTCCCACTTTTTAGAGCAATGTTTCCAAGAGCTTTTGCACCGGTTTTGATCAAAGGCATGGCTCTTCTTGCAAGAGTACGGAACAGTCCTCCCAGCCCGTACCCTACCTGCCAGGGGCTGCCTCTGAACACTGGCATGCCACGCCCTTGCTGTTGATCCAGGTAATAACGTACGTAAGGATTATTCATTCTCTCAGGTAAAATAAGTATGCTGTCTGAAATGTAGTGTCTCTACGGCCTTCCCGCGTTCGAATGGCACGGGATCGCCCGTGTCGTTCCTTAAAAGAATTTTCACGTCTCCGAAGGATTTCGTTTGGACAGGCACGTATTGTATGTTGGT